CGTGACTGTGCGGGGTGCACAGTGTGGAAACCAAGACGAGGGAGTGCACCGCTTTGGAGGTGCAGACGTGTGGCTGGGTGCGAGTAGAAGCCGGGTGTGCTGCGTGATGGCGTTGTGGGGGGTGGTAGGGCGGCCCGAGCGTGTCTGAATGTGTGCGTGAGCAGAGGTGGACGTTTGCCGCGGGGACGTGCACTCAGAACGCTGCAGCCTAGTGGACAGGCACGAGGAAAGGGTGGTAAGGTGCTGGCAGAGGACACAATCCCGAGGCTCTGCAAGATGTCCTCCGGGAAAAGAATGGTCTGTCCCTCTCTCCCAGCCCCTCTGCCCCTAGTCAGCCTGAGATCCGCGCCCCTCCTCGGCCCACTGTGACGGTGGAGAGATGAAGGAGGCTGGGCTGGCATGGGGACAGGAAGATGAAGCAGGGACAGAGAGTATGGGTCAGTGATTCTGCAGAAGACCCTGAGACCCAGCCACAGGGAGGCACCAGTGGGTGGTGGCATCTGTTGGGCCAGCCTGGGTCCCCGTGGGGCCTTTGAAAGGGAGTGGTCCGAGGTGGTGCTGCTGGAGTGCCTGCCATCAGGTACCAGGGGCTGGTCTGCCTGTGTGGCCACCTGTCTGGGAGTGGAGGTGTCTGTGCGCATGAGTGCTCGTCTGGAAGGAGGGGATCCCTCTGGTGTGTGTCTGCTTTTGAGATTGCTCTTTGTGTTCACCTCTGCCATGTGAGCGTATGCAGGTGTGGAGGGGTACTGGATGTGGGGCCCCTCCTTCCTTTGTCTCATGCTGGAGTGTGTGTGTGTGTGTGTGTGTGTGTGTGTGTGTGTGTGTTTAGGGCTCTTTCCATGCCCAGTTAGAGTGGAAAGGGAGCAGGGTTGCCTTCTAGGGTTAAGGGGCTCAAGACACAGGGGTGGGAGAGGAACCCTAAGTAGCTGCTTTCTCCTTTCAACCCAAATGTGACCCTGTGACCTGCCTGCTCCCTCCCACAGTGGGTTCTTTGGGGAGCCTGATGCCTTCCCAGTGTTCACCACCAACAGAGTAAAGAGGAGACCCTCCCCCTACGAGATGGAGATCACCGATGGTAAGTCTGCCTCCCCTACCTGTATGCTGCCATCTGCTGGCTGGAGCCCTCTGCAGGAGGGAGCCTCGGGGCCATTCTGGTGGTGTCTGGCCTGGAAGGGCAAGACTCCTTGGGACCCCAAACTGCCAAAACTCTGCACCTTGTGACTGAGCTGGGACTAGGTGAAATTGTGGGTGGGACTGGGACAGCCACACTCATGGTCCTAGGATGAGGGGACGTGGGAGAGGAACACATAGCATGTAGTCCAAACCTAGAGAGCCTGGACTAGTCTCCTCAGTAAACTCCATTCCTGTACTCTGGCTCAGGCCCCAGGGGAGAGCAGAAGCACATAGTGGCCCCCTGACTCGAGGCAGGACCCTCAGGGATCCTCTGCACCTCCTTCCAGGTCTCATTTGGAGTCTGGAGTCTGCTCCTGGTCTGGAATTGCACCTTTATGTCTCTATATTGTGGGACACCCTCGTTGTCCCCCATTCTGCGTTCTGGACTGAGACTTAGAATGGCACCCTATCCTGCCCCCTCAATGCTCTGGGCAGGGTCTCAGAACTGCTCCTGTGAAGTTGTCCCTAAACTTGCAGGGGTGGGCTTGAACGAGTGGGAGATTTGGAGGAACCCTTGTTCTCTTCCCAGAGTCAGCCAGATGTAGTAGAAGGGTCCTGGCACCAGGGGGCAGGAGAGCAGTTCTTCAGAGGTGAGAGACTTGGCACAAACCCCTGGTGCTCCCAAGGTTTCAGCCTAGCGGCAGCCAGAGCAACTTCTCTAAGAAGCATCCCCAGACCTTAGAGTCATATGGGATTTGTGTTAGGAGCGGTCCAGGGCTTCTGGCGGAGCTTTCTGTGTTCTGGAGAAAAGGAGACTCCAGACTGGAGCACAGAACAGACCTCAGGAGACCCAGCCAGCCTGGTGCGTAGGACTGAGAGGGAGGGGTGACAGAGTACCACTGCTGCTAGCTTAGAGAGGGGTTCTCCAGTCTAGGGGAGGTGGGCTATCAACAGGGCAGAAGCAGCCCTGAAGTTCCTCTGGCAAGAAGCATTTTCTTCTTTTAAAAAAATTATTTAATTTTACTTATTATTATTTTTAATTTGCTGTAGGGCACATACACTAGCCATATATATATTATATAT